ATTACGCAAAGGCGGGAGCACGTAATCAATGAGAATATTAATTGACGCTGTATTTACAGTGGAAGTATGAGGGCCATAACCTGTAGAGATGAATCATGGAGATTTTATTGTTTGTTTATTTCGTATACAATGTCGTGACAGCTCACAACAGGAGATTTCTTTATGTTTCTAGCTAATTTCTTTTGTGAAAATGTCACGTGATATATGGCGTAACACCACCAAAGATAGTCACAATGCCTCGCGAATCCTCCTTAGACGAATGTGCACGTAAACTCCGGGAGAAACTAGATAGCACTATAGTATGGGGTCTGACTAACGGAATTAGTTTCGAACTTTCTAAGACTGAGCTGCAATACTTTCACCTGAAGCAAGACTCACCACTAGAGCCTGCTCTTAGTATTGGAGGGACAACTATAACGTCCAATGATCACACTCGCTGGCTTGGAATCTTTTTCGACCCTGCTCTTCGGTTTCAATATTATACTATACACGCTTGCCGGCAGTCTCTAGCTATCACGAGCCATATGAAAAGACTGTCCACAACCACTTGAGGAATTAGCCCTCTTTTTCTAAGACAAGCTCTACAAGGTGCTGCCTTTGCGACCCTTTTCTACGGGGCTGAGACCTGGTACTCTAAATAGACTTCCCAAAAAATTATCTTGCAAGTACAACATAGGATGAACGACGCGGCACGGGCAGCTCTTCCAGTCTACCGTACCACACCAATAGCAGCACTTCTACGTGAAGCTGGCTGGGGCCCAGCTCAGACTTGGCTTAACAGAATTCACAGCCGTCTAGCGGTTCGAATTGCTGCAGCTGACCCCCATCACCCTCTTCGTAGGCGTTGGAACACTAGCCGCATGCGCTGGATCTGCCAGAGGATTTCACTAGAACTTTCCGAAAATACCATCCCCCCAGCATGGTCGGCACCCTGTGAGGAAAAGCTAATCGAAATTGGGGCAGTAGGTAGACCCTCGGGATCAAATTCCTTCAAACAGTGGCAGGCTGCTCGACCCATTCTAGATTTATTCGTATTTTCAGATGGAGCTCCCATAGCAGACCGAGCAGGCGCGGGGTATGTCATCTATCGAGGCCTTACGCAGGAGATTGGGCGAGGATCACTCCCTCTAGGAAACTCGACAGAGGTCTATGATGCTGAAATTGCCGGGGCCACGGAAGACCTTACTGCAGCACTCCTCAACCCACTGGCCTATTATGCCTCTAACGTCACTGTCTGCCTTGACAACCAGGAGGCCTCCCTCCATCTTCTCTCTGATGTTCCTACAGCGTCTAGCTCAGCGAAAATCTTTCTCTTTCGCAAGCATGCAGCAAACTGGAGAAGAAGATCACGCGGTCAAAATATGACGCCTGGCAAAGTGGCCATCCGATGGTGCCCAGGCTACGCAGGTATTCTGGGAAACGAAGCAGCCGACGCGCTTGCCAAAGCCGCTTGTGCGGCTCCAGCTCTACACTCGGTATTCTCTATTGCGAGGGCAAGATGGGAAGTCAAAGCCCAATACGAGGCTTCTGTTGCACTTTACTGGGCGGAAAATTCTCCATCTAGATATAAAGAATTAGGAATTGGTCCTAATACTAAGATTACTGCCGAGCTCGCCTGTCTAGGGCGACGCATACTAGTATATCTATTAGCTGCACGGTCTGGACATGGCGATTTCGCAGACTACCACCGACGGGTTCAGCACGAAAACGCCATTCTAACCTGCTCATGCGGAGAAGAAAAATCCCCCAACCACTTTTTCTATTGCCACCTCGGGCAATACCAGGCACAGCTCCACAGAGTACAGAATCCTAGTCCCATCATATCTTGGGCTCTCGCTTCCGCGAAGGGATTCCACGCATTTAATAGCTGGGTGCGTGTCACAAATTTCTTTGGAAAAGCACAAGTCTGACCGAACGGGAATCATGTGATTCAACTAAGTTCCCCCTTCCATATTCTTTATTTAATCTATTCTTCATTCAATACCGTCTGAATACATGAGAGTTGAAGAGAGACCGGTAACCATTTCCAATTTAATCTTCAAGCGCAGGATGATGAGATCCTGGCTTTCATTTGCTTTGTGGGTTTATTCAGGTGCCAACACGTCGGGTAGTTTTATTTAGACTGAGCTAACCGGCACGTGAGGAGCTCACGTGCTGTGCGCGGGCACGACGTTAAGTATAATAAATAAATAAATAAATACCTCGTAACCAGATCAATAAATCAAATCAAATCAAATCAAATCAAATCAAATCAAATCAAATCAAATCAAATCAAATCAAATCAAATCAAATCAAATCAAATCAAATCAAATCAAATCAAATCAATCAAATCAAATCAAATCAATCAAATCAAATCAATCAAATCAAATCAAATCAAATCAAATCAAATCAAATCAAATCAAATCAAATCAAATCAAATCAAATCAAATCAAATCAAATCAAATCAAATCAAATCAAATCAAATCAAATCAAATCAAATCAAATCAAATCAAATCAAATCAAATCAAATCAAATCAAATCAAATCAAATCAAATCAAATCAAATCAATCAAATCAAATCAAATCAAATCAAATCAAATCAATCAAATCAAATCAAATCAAATCAAATCAAATCAAATCAAATCAAATCAAATCAAATCAAATCAAATCAAATCAAATCAAATCAAATCAAATCAAATCAAATCAAATCAAATCAAATCAAATCAAATCAAATCAAATCAAATCAAATCAAATCAAATCAAATCAAATCAAATCAAATCAAATCAAATCAAATCAAATCAAATCAAATCAAATCAAATCAAATCAAATCAAATCAAATCAAATCAAATCAAATCAAATCAAATCAAATCAAATCAAATCAAATCAAATCAAATCAAATCAAATCAAATCAAATCAAATCAAATCAAATCAAATCAAATCAAATCAAATCAAATCAAATCAAATCAATAAATACCTCGCGAAAAGTATCATGTGAGATTATCCTCATGATCAAGTCATTCCGATTTGGCGCCCTGACGGTCAAGTCGAGTATTCTGGGTGTCGCAACACTATTTTGGGATGTACTTGAGCCAGGAGAGAAATCATAATGCGTTGATAGTTAGTTACGTGGCTTGGTGCAGCTTAGCGCATCGCGCCTAAGGCGCGATACGACTCTAAGAATAAGAATAACCATTACAACATTGAGAGACCCATTGCACACGCAAACGCGTGTATATTGCCGACTGACACTGAGAATATTTAAAATTTTAAATGGCTCGTATGGACGTTTGGATCGCTTATTCTCGGATTTTGTTAACGATGCCAAACGAAGTTGAGCCTTACAGCATTAAAGCTATTCCGTGAAATCTTCATGGGTATACGAGTGGCTTTCGTCATCCTACCAACACGATATTGCTGCGAGAGAACGAGGTGTATGGATCTTAATGTATCCGAATCAGATTCCCCTTGTCATGCAGGGAGTAGGAGTCCGAGCTGCCCAGAACCTACTTGGAAGAATGGCCCTGTATCATGAAATAAGGCGAAGTCCTTGTTCATAGATAGATTGTTCACATATCTACAGGAAGTTCAAAAGGACCATTCTACTTATTGTACCTCGCTTATTTGTTTACGCTACCCACTTAAGTCAGCGACGGTTAAATGGACAACCTGACGGCACACTATTTCTCAAGGATGAGGTTCTGATAGTGTTCTACGGGGTGCGTTGTATAGCCTAGTGAAGATCTAGGTGGTAAATGAAGATAATAAATGGGTCAAATGGATGACAGGTCTTTTCTAAGGAAGAAATGAATGGGCAACTAGTTCCAGTAGATAATACACGTGAATCTTGCTAATGAAGAACTGGGCAATGGATATATGGTCTTCCTGAAGAAGAGATGGGTAAACAAATGTATTGTTAAGGGTGAGTAAAGAAGACGTTTCGTGAGGAGTAAATCTCTCTCACGCTGAAGTATTATATACAAGAGTAGAAGCATTTGCCAGCCGGAATTAATCGTAATCAATTCTTGCCAGTAACTTCGCATTAACGGCTGTGTTCTTGTCCTTCTCTTCATGACTCTCTTGTATATCCTTATATGACTTTTTACCTGGCAAATTGTACAGGGGAAGCTAATCTTGAATTGATGGTTTTAATTAGCTACCCCTTCATCTTATCACGAATTGATATTAGTCTTAAAATTCTAATTACGGATCCGTGAAACTATTGAACAATCCAATCCTCCATCTCCTGAAGTTGCCACACCCAAATGCTACAAGTGTACACATCTTTTCCAATTAATTAATGTATGTCGAAGCGTAACACTGTTCAGTTTGTATTACTATAAATCCTTAGTATTATGTTCTTAGACAATCCAACGGTTGGCGTAGATTAACAAGGGACGTTAGATATGGCCTTTATTGTATAGGCCACCACGTGACCTATAAGCTAAGGATTGAGCCCTCAACAATGGATAATCAGCTTCCTATCCGTGACACATATCTAGTGATTTGTGAAGATGTTGCACGACTCTTCTAACCTTTGGGACGCTAGTTCTTTTAATTTCACTCGCACATATCAGTGAGTTGTGTTTGCTCACACTGAACATTCGGCCCTCGTCGGTAACTACCCATCAGAGGGAAAATTATAACCTTGTTATCCGAGTATGCCTTTGACAGCCTTCATACGTATAACACGAGAAATGTAATCAAATCTTGTCGGAATCGAACCAACATTTGCCGGTGTCAAGTGAGATAGACCCTTCAGTCTTGACCCTATGACCAAATAGTCTACCTGGCGCGTTACATGAATGCTGGGAAGAATAATGGCTGCGTGAGTAGCAGTTTCTAGCCGTATTTTTCACATTGATATGGCCAGTAGTTTTCTTGAAATCTGTTTTTCTTCTTTCATATTTCTGCTATAATTACTATCATTATTTGGGATATTCCACGCCGGACCGCTCATGGTCACGTAATAATAAATTTCAAAGTACCCCCCCTCTCGCCCGCTTCATCTTTTAAAAGCCAAATTCAAGACACTATACCCTCTGGGTCGGTTAGCTCCGCTACATTCATTCCGCCATCAACCCAGACCTGCGCCAACTCGGCATCAATCTCCCGTTTGCGTCCTTCCCATTCTGGTACACACTTGAGTCGCTCGCGAAGTTCATGAAGTTCTCGTTCCACTTCCATTTTTTCCCTTGCCGTTCCGATTCGTTCCAATTCCCATCCACTACCATCATTTCCCAAGCCTAGCATAAGATTATACGTATGATACTTCTTTAGACTAGCACGCGTGCTGATGGTGATCAAAGTAATACCCTTCTCTTTACAATTCCCATATAATAATCCTTCGACATCTGATGACACAGCCGACGTTCCTTCGTCAATAAAGGCATATCGAGGCTCATGGTAAAGTAGTCGCGCGAATGCCATTCGTTGTTTTTCTCCCCCGCTCAAAACATCCTTCCACTCTTTGCGTGTGTCCCAGCCACCTTCACGCTCAGGGAGATAGCCTAGGTGGACTTCCTCTAGTATTTTTTGAAGTTCAGTATCCCGCCGGCCTTGCTCACGCATATCAACGGCACCGTCAGGATAGATAACTTGGTCTCGAAGGGTTCCGACGCTAAGATAAGGGCGTTGAGGAAGAAACATAATGCCATCCTTTCCAATCCTTCTTGCTCGGGAGACTAACCCACGATAAACTGGCCAGAGTCCGGCGACAATTCGAGCAACCGCACTCTTACCAACCCCGTTCGGACCCGAAATCTATCGCATTATTTAGTTGAATTTTCAAGATACTGCGAGATTATAGTTTGAGAGAATAAACTTACCAAAAGATGTTCTCCTGAGTGTACTATTAAAGACATTGAACCGAGCAATTGTTCGCCGCCATGTGGGAAGATTGATGGCGCAACAATAGGGACACTCTCTAATCGCACGCCATCAAAACTCTTTTGCATAGTACCCTGGACGTCACATAAAGAGAAGAGCTCTGGTTGTGTTCCACGTGGAGGAAAATAAGCATCTCCATGGACGCGGTGCAGCGTTGAGATGAGGGTATATACGCGGCTCGTATAGCCAGCCAGCTCCGATAGGTCCTTTAAGGAATACATCATTCTTCCGCCTGCATCAGCGAGAGAAAGCATTAGTCTTTTATTAGTAATAAAATCCTTCATTCGTCCTTTTTCGCGACTACCGCTCCCTAATGTTTCGGAAAGCTCCTGGATACCTCCGAGACCAGCCCACATGGGAAAGAAGACTGGAAGTGCTGATAAGAGATAGCCATACGCGCTCCAGCTATATTTCAGGACAAAATCTTCCAGAATATTGTAGTGAATCTTCAACGTATAAATCCCTTCCATCCAGTTCTTCAAGCTCTTAAATTCCTTATCGAGTAAGATCTTTTCCATTGCAGCCCCCCCATAAAATGCCACCTCTTCGGCATTAGCAATTAAGCGCGCATGAAGTCCTCGAAAATCTCCTTCTTTACGGCCTTCCACGGCTTTTAACCTTCCGAAGGGCGGGGAGAGCCTGCGCAATACCGTCGCAGTCAAGAAGTAGTTGCTCATAAGACCTGTGAGCCCTAGAGCACCGAGGGATCGGTAAAGCTGATAGTTAAAAACTATTAGATCTACAAACGGTTTACCTAGTGACGAGTAGAGAGTGGCGGCAGAGGTACAAAAATGGGTGAGATCTTGGGTCATAAATTGGTCGACTCCGGGTCCGATACCACCGTCAATATTTGACAGCTTATAATAATTGAGATTATCATTAAGATACAGATCGTGTATGTATCTGATAAGGCGGGTTCGAAAGGCTATGGAAACCTTGGACTGGAGAAATTTGATCATAGAATTGGTATACGACGCCAGACTACCTATTCCGCACCACTGAGTAGCGTTAGTCTATTTTCACCTACACATGTAATACATGGGCGCGGGTATGAAAACTACAAAGGAGCTTTGAAGACATTATACTGCGACTCACCTTTACGATACCCCAGAGGAATGATCTTCCATGTCCGGCGACGAGATCTCGCACAATCTCTCCGTCTAAACGCGCCACAACAAGAGAAAGGTAAGTCCGCAGTATTAAAAACATGCCATGACTCAGGAGTAGACCAGTTTCTTTACTGTTTGACCTGGGTACCATAATACTTAAGAGACTGAGAAATTGATGAAGAAATGCAAGATTTAAGCCGGCTTTTATTTGAGTCGGGGGAACACGAGGTGAGTTGCTATCCGCCAACCCTGATGCCCTAGGGGGGTTGAGAAACAATCTACGATGCGCATCGAATGTCGTCGCCTTGGTGGGATGGATAGTCACCTTTGACGTGGTGTCTTTGTAAGGAACAAATATGACACGGGAGCCATCTTTATTTCGAAGACCTGAGTTTTTCCGGAATAATCTTTGGCCTTGTTCTTTCTCAGCCTGTCTCTTTAGCCACCAATTTCGACTGCCTAGAAGACCAAAAGTGAGAGATGTAAGGAAAATCAGGGTCCCGACAAGTCGAATGTACTTGGGTGATCTATTGAGTCGTTTGAGGATGAGAGAGATGGTGAGATTGAAGCGACGGACTTTGCTAATGGCAGCAGAATGGCACACCTGGGACGGCGGTGACATGGTTGTGATCAACCTCGAGATAATATGCTATGGATAAATGATAGCTCCTACATTCTCTAGTATCTGTGTTCATGAATATCTTTGCGCAGTATTGGCCACCAGCCGTCTATCTTTCTGGCATGAAAAAGTCTTTTTTAGAAGTGGGCGTGGTCGTGGTGTTTCAGTCATTTGAAGCAGTTTGGCTAAGTACTGGAAATAGCCTGGTCGGTTTTGGGGGAGAGGGGGGTAATTATTACTGATTGACCCAAGGCCGAGGCACATGCAACCCATGGATGGATGCGCGCAAAGAGTGGCCGCTATAGAACGCTATAATCGCTGCCCTTCCTCCGCCATTCACTTTCACCGATTCTGGCTCGATGTACGCACTGCAACTGCGTTTACTAATCAGATAGTCAGCTACTAGATATACAAGGCCGAGCTACTGCGCCTCCTAGGCATCTAAGAGCTTTCTATGAGCTATAGTCTGCTGCCGAAGCATAGGCAGTTTTGAGCACGACCACTGCTATTAAAAGTACCGTGCGACTACCATAACTACGGTTTCGGAGACATTTTAGCTGTTCGCTCTCTTGCTTCCAAGGGAGACTACACGGCTAATCGAAGGCGTGTAGGAAGTTTACTATGACCATCGCTTCTTTGGCGATCAATTTATCCGCGGAACCTACAATGAAGACAGTGGCTGCCAAGAAGATCTTATCGTAGCATCTGATCTTGTGCCTAGTTCCGTGAAGGATTACATTTGTTGCTGTTAGAAACTATTGCCTTCATGCCAACTATCTTGTATCCTAGAATAGACTTAGATACAGCCGATACTGCTGATAATGTAGTTCAACCGTCTCGGATCTCCTCGGGGACAAAAGGCGGCACATACAAGGAGTAGCGGATACTGTTTGTCCTGATACGTCGATGCCGTCGATAGATTGTCTGGTAGCGCCTGAGGGAGGGTCAGCACTCTGCCCTTCAACTTTACAGGGTGCATGTATCTCACTTGGCACACTGCTGCTTAAAAAGGACGATCCACACTAGTACTGTTATCCTTGTTCCCAGTCATCTGAATTAATCACCATGAGATTCTTGCATCGACTGGCACAGTAGTCATTGGCTTTGTTAATTCTACGATTCAACTAGCTAGCAGCCACTCCCCAACCCCAGCAGTGCCCGCTGGATCTCGGAAGATAGCTCCTCTTCCCCGAATCTCGATGGTGAAAGGGATATGCCAGCCGGTAGACCCGCGGATAGTTACATTCCCGCAGAACAGGGGCGGATGGTAAGGCCGGTGCCTGCGTGACTGCACGGACCCTCTAATTTGGGGTTTCTGCGAGTATGAGCGCTTTGGGTCATGTGATCAATCATATCTCAAATAGCCGAGACAATAACAGTCACATTGTCCAGCATAGAGCTCAGATCTGCTCTCGGGCATTCCGGGCGCTTAGTACGAGGCTGGCCGGAAAGGGTGCACGACTGCAAGGATGTAATGACGAGCTGTGGTGTTCATACTACCCTACCACCCTCAACGAGCCATGCAAGGCTTGATATGGTCAGCGCTGGCGGGTCACGATCTTCTACCCGTTTTTTTATCTTTCTTGAATTAGATTTTAATTGCGTATGCAACTTTCTAGCATTGACACAATAACAGAGAAAAAGAACAGAAAAATAACTTTTTACACTGTTAGAGCACTCATGCCACAGATTCCATTTGCAAATACCACTGCGAAGTTATGGCGGCTTTTTCTTCACCCCAAGTCAACCCTCATCCGTGAATAACCACCCAGGGGAACTTCTCAAAAATATTGGGTTATCCAGACATTTTTCCGTCATTCACTGATTTTTCTCCGCTCGAAATGTAGTCTAAGGCGTCTCTTTTCCAAGCAGAGTACGTATGTGTTTTTATTGTACTACTTGAGTCTATGACTATCAAGCACGTTGGGCTCCTTTCTGACCCAGGCCACACCTTGTACAGTGCTCCTTGTCTCTTTTATTGCTTTAAAAATTATTAATATATTGCCCGTGATTTATAGCCATTCAGCTTAGTTTTTACCCGTGGAATTCAGCCACCTTTTCCACGAAACCTTCTACCTAAAAAAATAAAAATGGAAGCTATGGAAGTTCCGTGCGCGGGAAAAAGCCTCAAAAAACTTGTATCGCCAGCCAGGTGAGGCCTAGACACCGGCACCACACGAGGTGCGCATATTCATCCGTATCTCATTCCTTTGTAACAGTCGAGGCCGACTTGATCCAATCCTCCATCTCCGTATCGGGTTCTGGGTACGCTCCAGAAACACATCGGATGGCTTCTCCTCCATGATCAAGGGTTGGTGATGAGTGGGGCTCCGACCCTAGCATCTGATCTGATCGTGGTTAGCTTCATTATAATGGTGATAGGGGGATGTGTTGAGAGATGAAGACGATACAGACCGCGAAAGCGATTGGGAATCCTCATCGAAGTGAGGACTTTTTTGCTCAATCTCGGCTATGCAGACTCTACAGTGAGAGCTGGAGGTTGGCAGGGGACACCACTGACAGGTGTTGAATAGTCCCCCTAAGTGGAGTATGTGCCTAGGCTACTATAACTATACCGGAGAACACCACCAGGGAGCGGATCATGGCACCTTCCATCGTTGACTTGTATTTATAGTGTCAGCTGCACTCTTTGATCTTCAACCTGCTTCGCCGTGCACACGAACAGTCTTTCTGTCGACGCATTATCGCAGGCGTCCTTCACATGGACGAATAACTGGCTGTGAGACCTGGACTAAGGACCCCTATGCGACTTCGAGAAACCCGCCGCGCACCGATCACGAATTTGCTGTAATGCCGGGTTAAAATACCAAGAGCGACACCCTTGTAATTGGATTGATCATATCATCAGGGTACTGCGTCCAAAACTGAGAGCGCTGGATGGCTGTTTGCAACAATTGGACCCCCAATATTGAACTCTTTGAAATCCTACGCATTCAGGTGGGTTTTGCTTCAAGTTTTGTCGCTAGGTTCGTCCTAATTCTAGCGTAACCTTCTTAGTCTTGGGGCTTGAGACAGCTGCTACCCAGAATTTATCACTAAGGTTTTCATTTTCAGTTACCGTTTTAATAATTTCAGGAAGAAAGCTGCGGCACAACATCAGTTGTTTCTCATTGTCCACGGCCCGAATTCCGGTCCACTTAATGCCGCCGAATTGAAACTATTGATCAGTGATTCATTCATAGTCACTCAAGAATGGTGTATGAGGTACGCCACAAAATAGTCACCTTTTTATAATTGGTATGTGACATGTGGAGGGTTGGATGGTGCAGTGGTACACCATCCGGGCCGTCCTCCCAAGTAGATACTGGATAGCTTTAACACCTACCCCATTCGAGACAGGATGAGGCTGGTTCGAATCCAGTCAGACCCACACACCACTCTCTCTCGCGGTGATATTGCACTTGTGGGATGAAGAAAGCACACTCGGATAGCCACAGGTTTTTCACGCTTTTCCCTGTGGTGGGTATGCACCGAAGAGGTTATACGCCGTAAGGGTCAACCTCGAGTGATATCTGCAAATGAAATCTGAGTGTGAGTATTCTTAAAAGTCAAATTGAATCATCCTACTTAAAGTACGTATCTTCCGATAGGAATCTGCATGGGCTTCAAGGCGCCAAATCAGGAAAATGAATTATATATGTGACATATGGATGTACACTTACGCTAGAATAGCCAAGATGGTTGATGGAGAGATATCTTGATTGATACATAGTAGTAAGGTATTTTTGACAATTGTTATGTTACAGATTGGGGGAGGCTTATCCCTTATCCACTAGATTGTTCGCCTGTAGACCGATCAAGTAACCAGTATGCAGTGCACCAAAGTGTGCTCCCAACAAAGGAACTGTGCCATTTATCCTGTATCGACAGCCCGTCTCTCGTGCTGTACATAGTGCTACTTGTAATATCGTTATGTAGAGACTAGATCTCCTTCAAACGCTATTATGCAATACTGCCATAATAACTACCAATGCGCCAGCTACTAGATTCACCATACAACATGGCTGAGCGTAACACAACTCAATCTAATATTTTGGTCTATCTGGTGTGTTCTTTGATGCATATCAAGTCAAAAAGAGTTCCTTGAGGCGTATTTTTTTGATTCTGACTGTGCTAGTCAAGTCAGAGACTATCTAGCACGTTGGGCTCCTCTCTGGCCTAGGATACACCCTGTGCAGTGCTCCTTTCCTCTTTTGTTACTTGAAAGATCATTGATATTTTTATTTACCCTAGAATTCAGCTACTTTTTCCACGGAACCTTGTACCCAAAAAATTAATTAGTAGCAACGGAGACTGCTTGCGCGGGACATGCTCTCAAAATCTCCTGGCCCTAGATGAGACGAGATCTAGATACCGGTGCCACTCAAAGTGCCCATATCCACCTATATCTCCCTTCTATGTAATACGAGAGGCCAGTCTAATCTAGTCTACCACCGTCACATCGGAAGCTGTGTACGCTCCAGAATCTCATCGGGTGGCTACTACTCCATTACCAAGAAAACCAAGTGAGTTATGGGTATAGCTTCGACCATACTATTTGATCTGATAGACCTTAGCTTCATAATAATCGTGCTATGGAGATGTGCTAAGAGAGGAAGACGATACAGGCCATGAGCGCGAGCGCGAACGCGAACGCCATCGGGAATCCCCATCGAATTGAGGACAAAGATGTTACTCAATCTCGGCTCCTCGCATTCTGCAGTAGGAGCTGTATATCTATACGAGATACTGCTGACAAGTGCTGACAAGTGCTGAGCTTTCGTCCCCCAGATCCTGAAGATTATCAGACATAGGTTGTAGCTATCTCCCGAATAGGTGTCTAGGGGTATCTAGAGTAAAATCCTTTTCACGACTCATATCCTTCCCTAGGATATTAGTTTCTAGCAACACCATATTGTTTGTATGCCATGTGAACAGATGATCAAGAATTAGTGGTGCAAATCTGATTGTAAATCTGATTGCAAAGTTTTTGTTGTTGTTCT